GTGACGATGACGTGATTGTGAAGTAAGAATGGTGGGATCTCCACCCCAGCGCTCCCGGCCTGGCCGACAGGTCTCCTGCTGACCCCGCCTTCACCCGGCCAGGCCGACAGGTCTCCTGCTGACCCCGCCTTCACCCGGCCAGGCCAACAGGTCTCCTGCTGACCCCACCTTCACCCGGCAGGCCGACAGGTCTCTGCTGACCCCGCCTTCACCCGGCCAGGCAGACAGGTCTCCTGCTGACCCCACCTTCACCCGGCCAGGCCGACAGGTCTCCTGCTGACCCCACCTTCACCCGGCCAGGCAGACAGGTCTCCTGCTGACCCCGCCTTCACCCGTCCAGGCCGACAGGTCTCCTGCTGACCCCACCTTCACCCGGCCAGGCCGACAGGTCTCCTGCTGACCCCGCCTTCACCCGGCCAGGCCGACAGGTCTCCTGCTGACCCCACCTTCACCCGGCCTGGCCGACAGGTCTCCTGCTGACCCCGCCTTCACCCGGCCAGGCCGACAGGTCTCCTGCTGACCCCGCCTTCACCCGGCCAGGCCGACAGGTCTCCTGCTGACCCCGCCTTCACCCGGCCAGGCCGACAGGTCTCCTGCTGATCCCACCTTCACCCGGCCTGGCCGACAGGTCTCCTGCTGACCCCACCTTCACCCGGCCAGGCCGACAGGTCTCCTGCTGACCCCACCTTCACCCGGCCAGGCCGACAGGTCTCCTGCTGACCCCGCCTTCACCCGGCCAGGCCGACAGGTCTCCTGCTGACCCCGCCTTCACCCGGCCTGACCGACAAGTCTCCTGCTGGTGAAGGTGGAGGGGGGGGGGGATGAGACATGTCTACAGAGTAGCACGAAACAATAGTGATGACTGGAGGTTGGGTGGAGTGTTGGTGGAGTGATGGTGGCGTGGCAGAGACGCCCCCGGTGGAGTGTCACCTGGTGGAGGGTGACAGTAACTACTGGCCGGCACATCACACACCTGCCTCAAAAACACAATAATCATCAACAAGCTAAGCCCGAATGGCCACAAAGAGCGAGCAAAGAGAGAGAGGCGGTACGACCAAGGATATCCCAACTGAAAACAGAAAAGGACGCAGCCTTGCTCCAACAAGGGATAAACACAGAGGTGTTTTCTGTCTGCCGGTGTATAGTTACTAATATATTACTTCAGTCCTGAACTTTATTGCCAGTAAGAAAATGTTACCACCTTACCAACCTTCCGGCGTCTGACGGAGTCAAGCCCAACGTCTCACCAAACTACCTTCTCCAGAGACCAAGCGGGGAGGATATCACTGAGGAACGATGGGTTGAACCATTCGCAAGGCTATTCTTGTGTTTTCCGGAGAACCTCAGCCACTCTCCAATATTTCTAGATCGCCACGAGAGGAAAAGCTTGGCGACATATAATTGTAAGTAGGTGTCGGGGTGTAGAGCAGTGAGAGCGCCATCAACTGGGGCGCTCTAGTCTTGTGTATGTTCCAAGATGGCTCCAGTCTCTATATCTTCCACAGTTGCTCCACAGCCACTAGAGCCATCTTTGTACATATACATACTAGAGCGAGCAGCAATATACTACATCAACAGCTGAGAGCCACAGATGTTGTCTAAGAGTCACGGGATGAGGAGGTGGCCGTGGTGGATCACCCAGGGGTCTCTAGAGCACCCACACTACACCATCCTACCCCCAATCAACACCTGAGAAATCAGTCTTCAGAGTAGTAAACTACAGTAGTGTAGGTGCGGAGATTATCACTAGTGAGAGCTACATCACGTAGGACCAGACCTCCATGGTGGCACCACCACCATCCTGGTGTTCCCATCGACCCTCCACACTAATTATAGCATAGATTATACGTTTGTCAAGGTTAGTTTCACAGTCAAATTTAGCTGTCGGTTTGGCCAAGTCAATTCAGCATTACTAACGGCTGAAGTGACAGTGTGTGTGGGGAGGGAGGCGTTTTAACCTGTTTTAACCTCTAACCACGTTACCTGTTACCTGTTAGAACATTAGCGCTTGGAGTACTCGCGACTTGATCCCAGACATTTCCAAAACCCATATAGTCCCGCAGAGCTGTAGTAACTGAGCAATTCAATCACACTGTTGTGTCTGGGATACTGCACTCGAGATTTGGGACACACACACAGGCGCCACTTGCCCCTTGATTCACAGTGTACCCGAGGCGATCCTGTCCTACTCATGCGAGTTCGCGTTTATCGAGGTTTGCCTTATCTAACTTATCAAACACAAGCCATATTAACCTGACGTTTATTTCCTAGATGTTGGCGAAGATAGCGGTGTCGCCAAGATACATCGCGCACTCCTTTAATTGGCTCACCTCCTTATCCAGCCCGTCCTCCTGAGGTTCCCAAACGTCAAGAAACTGTCCTACTAAAGTGCCCTGATCCTAACCTACCAGAAGACCCAAAACAGAAAACGGGACAGTACGCCAATTTCGCGAGCCGCTTCCATTTTCTAGTACGACAATTTTTCGCGTTATGTAACGCATACGTGCGAAATGCGACGTTCTTTGTAGAAGGACAGGTTCCCGTTCATCATATCTTCAGCCACGGTATTGTGACTCATCGCCTGCAGAATATGAATTAACCACCTGCCTCAGAGACCAGAACCAAGATTCATCGAGTCAGCCACTGACGAAACCTGTACATCTTTCAACAATCATGGCGGTTTCATTTACATTTATCAAGCAGTTTATGACCTACGCAGCTTCACAACCCAAGGTTATTATTGTCATACACAAGCTCGTAGGGCTTCGCAGCTCATAAACAGTTTAATACCTGTAATCAAAGCCGGTCATTATTAAGGAGAGATGTAAAGGTTTCGTAAAGTGTTTGATGACTCTTGGGCCAGAAACACTGGCGTATACCAGGAGCTGCCGGTTACTCAATGTCTCACTTACGCAAGACCAGGTGTAGGTATTCCAAGCTGCGACTCACTTATATAAGACGAGATGTAGGATAAGTTTAGATCCAGGAAAGACCTGGGTAAATACGGGTTTCTTCAATTATGTAACAAATTACCAAGTAATAAGAGGCATGTGATCACTTGAGTGTTTCAAGCGTAAGCTAGACATATATATGAAGGATTTTGGGGGTGGATATTAAACAGGACCCGCCTCGCTTAAGACAATAGGCCTCCTACATTATTCACTCCCGACCCTCATGTCACCTCCGACCCTCATGTCACCTCCGACCCCTCATGTCACCCCCGACCTTCATGTCACCCCCGACCCTCATGTCACCCCCGACCCTCATGTCACCCCCGACCCTCATGTCACCCCCGACCCTCATGTCACCTCCGACCCTCATGTCACCTCCGACCCTCATGTCACCCCCGACCTTCATGTCACCCCCGACCCTCATGTCACCCCCGATGTCCCCCCGACCCTCATGTCACCCCCGACCTTCATGTCACCCCCAACCCTCATGTCACCCCCGACCCTCATGTCACCCCCGACCCTCATGTCACCCCCGACCCTCATGTCACCCCCCCTCATGTCACCTCCGACCCTCATGTCACCTCCAACCCTCATGTCACCCCAACCTTCATGTCACCCCCGACCCTCATGTCACCCCCGACCCTCATGTCACCCCCGACCCTCATGTCACGCCCGACCATCATGTCACCCCCGACCCTCATGTCACGCCCGACCCTCATGTCACCCCAGACCCTCATATCACCCCCGACCCTCATGTCACCCCCAACCTTCATGTCACCCCCGACCCCGACCCTCATGTCACCCCCGACCCTCATGTCACCCCCCCTCCTTCATGTCACCCCCGACCTCCATGTCACCCCCGACCCTCATGTCACCCCCGACCCTCATGTCACCCCCGACCTTCATGTCACCCCGACCAACATGTCACCCCCGACCTTCATGTCACCCCCCCTTCATGTCACCCTCATGTCACCCCCCGACCCTCATGTCACCCCAACCTTCATGTCACCCCCGACCCTCATGTCACCCCCGACCCTCATGTCACCCCAACCTTCATGTCACCCCCGACCCTCATGACCCTCATGTCACCCCCCGACCCTCATGTCACCCCCGACCCTCATGTCACCCCCGACCCTCATGTCACCCCCGACCCTCATGTCACCCCCGACCTTCATGTCACCCCCCCCCCAACCCTCATGTCACCCCCCGACCCTCATGTCACCCCAACCTTCATGTCACCCCCGACCCTCATGTCACCCCCGACCCTCATGTCACCCCAACCTTCATGTCACCCCGACCCTCATGTCACCCCCGACCCTCATGTCACCCCCAACCTTCATGTCACCCCCGACACTCGCATCGTCTACGGAGACCTGATTATGTTGTGATGTCAGAGGCGGCCTTACAAAAGCTAGATAACGCGTGTAACATAAATATTATCATTTTAATTACTAATACTTTCCAACTACGAATGTTCAGATGTTCGAAATAAACTGTCCCTTACTTCGAACATCTGTGTATGGTTTTCTGTTTTAGAACACTGCTAATCTCACCAAAACAACATCGTTGCAATCTGATCTTACAGTGGCAATATTGTTTAGCTGATATCCAGTACTTATGTTTCCTCCTCTTGTTCTAATGCCGCTATGAACATTATAAACTTCATCTGCTGATTTCTAGTCAGTTTTGAAAGTCTATTTAGGCCTCGCTGTAGCATGAGTAGACAGCTTAATACCTGAACTAAAACAGATCGGGTAATGGCGTGCAGTCGCGTATGTGAACCACTGATGGCTGTGATGGACAGGTCCCTATGACATGACAAGGTCTGGTGGTGGACAGGTGGAGGTCCTATGACATGACAAGGTCTGGTGGTGGACAGGAGGGGTCCTATGACATGACACTTCCTTGCTCCTGCTCCACACGTGTCGTAGTGCTATGTACGATGACCAAACCACTCACCAGGAGATGAAGAGACGACGTCGTCTCGTCTGCTCATCTTCTGGTGTGTGGTTTAGTCAACATATCATCAGCCACGTTATAGTAACTCATCGCCTGCATATAGTGCTATGTAGCTACACTGGCCTAACGCTCTCTGCTAGTCTTAGCTCCTCTGGTTTGTCTCACCTTTCAAGACAGTTTGATGCCTTGAAAGTTTGATGATATCAAACCCACGTTTGATGTTATCTGAAGAAAGAGAGAAGGAGACCTCAGCAAACTAACTCGAACCCAGGACACCCAGCAGCTATAGCGTGCGACTGCTTAACTTGAGAATCTGCCTATTGTAGTGTGAGCACCTCCCAGCACCTCCTAGTACCTCCCAGCACCTCCTAGCTCCTCCCAGCACCTCACAGCACCTCGTCTCCTACTCCACCAACCAAGAGGATCAAGAAAGCCTAGCCACCCACGCCTGGTCAAAACGAATAGGTTCCTTAACCCAAACAAGTCATACCTGATGACAAAGGCTGAGCTCCTATTCTAAAAAGGTCATATTCCTTATTACCAGAGGAGGAGGAGGTACCCTAACACCCCCTCCCCCCCCCCTGTCACCTAATCTGCCACGATGGCGCAGCCGGCGGCTAATCACACCTACCGTCTCAGCCGGGTAATTGCAAACTCAACGCCAAAAATTATCAAGGTAATTACGCCACTCCTTGTAAATTTAGCACGCCAATAGTCAGCAAAAATGGGGGGTTAGAGAAAATGATCTTGGCGCGGGGTTGACGGAGCCAGTCACCTCTGAGCTATGGACAGGTGTAGCGAGGCACGCCAGGTGCAACCTTGACGCAGGTGACGGTAAGGCTCACTGTCCTGGTGACAGGTTGTAGGCCAGGGATCGCCAGCAAGATCGCCTCCGACCAAATCCCAAAAATGGTAGTGTGAATTACAGGCAGGGGAGGTGATCGCGTGCCGGGAGGGGAGGAGGGGGCGTCAGTGGAGGAGGGGGTGGGGAGGAGAGGGAAGAACGGACAGAGGAGGAAGGAAGGAAGGACGGGAGGATAGAGAAACAGATAGACAGGACGTAGGAAATAATCCTGGAGAGGTAGAGACAAAGCGGGATACTCAAGAGATTGACGAAGGGATAGTAGAAAGAAAAAAAAACGGATGGAGAGAGAGATGGAAGGGGTAGAAGGCTGTCAGCTCAGAGGACAGTAAACATGAACGACAGATACTCCTGATAATCTCTCATGACTTAACGCGCTGGGGCACTAGTTAGGTAATTAGTTGTTTAGTTAACTAGTTGAGCTAGTGGCAAGTTTATGTTGGTCAACAGGCTAATTAGTTAACTTGAGCGCACACACACACACACCACCAGTTGATTGACAGTTAAGAGGCGGGACCAAAGAGCCAAAGCTCAACCCCCGCAAACACAACTAGGTGAGTACCACACACACATCCAAACTCTATTCATAATTTTAAAACTAGATATGATAGGGAAATGGGACAAGAGTCATTGCTGTAAACAACCGATGTTTAGAAAGGCGGGATCCAAGAGTCAATGCTCGATCCTGCAGGCACAAATAGGTGAGTACACACACACACACACACAGGAGCACACACACACACACACACACACACACACACACACACACACACACACACACACACACACACACACACACACACACACACACACACACAAGGAGCCCAAGGTGTGACGAGGCCAAAATCCTAATTTTCCTCTCTTAACACGATCACTCGAGAGTGTATTGACCCTCCTAGATGACACCTCCACACCTCTCAAGCCATGTCTAATCTTCCACTGACATGTCTATACCACCCTTAACTCCTCTCTTATTCCCCACACCACAAATCACGACTAAGGGGGTACGACCCGAGTATAAAATTGGGTCGTGTAATTCAGTACGACCCAAGGCACGCTTATTACTAATCGTCGCCATAACTAGATGTCCGTGCGTGTCTCTGGAGTAGATAGTAGTAGATAGTAGATATTTACTAGATCTAGATGCCGTGGCGTCTTTGGGTACATTTCTTGGCACGTCTGTATGTCTACACGAAAATCGAATCCAGCAAACAGACATCCCTGTGTACATACATATTCCTGTGTATATACACATTCTCATACATATCCCTGTGTACATATACACTCTCATACATATTCCTGTGTACATACACATTCTCATTCATATCCCTGTGTACATACACTCATACAACTGTGTACGCTCTGAGTCATATGCGAGGAAATAATAACAATGATATGATCTACAATGTGTGTGTGTGTGTGTGTGTGTGTGTGTGTGTGTGTGTGTGTGTGTGTGTGTGTGTGTGTGTGTGTGTGTGTGTGTGTGTGTGCGTGTGTGCGTTTGTGTGCGTGTGTGTGCGTGTGTGTGTGTTGTGTGTGTGTGTGTGTGTGTGTGTGTGTGTGTGTGTGTTTGTGTGTGTGTGTGTGTGTGTGTGTGTGTGTGTGTGTGTGTGTGTGTGTGTGTGTGTGTGTGTGTGTGTGTGTGTGTGTGTGTGTGTGTGTGTGTGCCTTACAACACATACCTGGTTGATGGGGTTCTGGGAGTTCTTCTACTCCCCAAGCCCGGCCCGAGGCCAGGCTTGACTTGTGAGAGTTTGGACCACCAGGCTGTTGCTTGGAGCGGCCCGCAGGGCCACATACCCACCACAGCCTGGTTGGTCCGGCACTCCTTGAAGAAAACTATCCATTTTTCTCTTAAAGATTTCCACGGTTGTTCCGGCAATATTTCTTATGCTCGCTGGGATGTTAGAACAACCGTGGACCTCTGATGTTTATACAGTGTTCTCTGATTCTCGCTCACATGAGTGAGCGCACACACGCACGCACGCATACAGTATCACTAACAAGTAATTCCTGCAAGTTACTAGAGTGAAGGATCCGAAGCAGGTTAGTTGGACACTTAGAAATATCTTAAAAAAAAAAGGTCTTGAAAACACCAACCAGTTTGTGCCCGAAACGTTTGGCTTCGCAAGAATGTTACATAGGATTTAACAGAGGGAAACATCCTGCTTGACAAGCATGCTGGAGTTTTAAAGTGACATAACGATAGTTCAGCCCAGCTTCTTAAAATGGTAATATAGCAAGAGGGGGGGGGGCGGGGGGCGGGAAGAAGAATGTTAAAGTGCATATTCCTCGACTACCAGAGAGTATTCGATACTGTTCCCCCACAAGACCCTCAGTGTCAAGCTAGAGAAGCGGGCTGGTGTGTCGGGACGAGTACTAACGTGGGACAGAGAGTACCTCTCAGGGAGGAAGCAAAGGCTTATAGTGAGAGAAGAGACATCAGAGTGGTGAGAGGTTACGAGTGGAGTACCACAAGGGTTGGTTCTGGGGGCCCCTTCTGTTTCTAATATGTCAACGACCAGATATAACATATCGCTCTTTCATGCTAAATGAAAGAGAAGCCTCAGGACAGAGATAGATTGTGATACACTTGGACACACTCCAGAAGTGGTCTGAACAAATGCCTGCTAGAACTTAACCCAGCCAAATGCAACGTTATAAAGGTTGAAACTGGAGTGCGAAGCAGTAGAGCAGTACAGGATGAATGGGGAGGCAGATTCCTTAATCAGAAAAGGAGAAAGTCTCAGATTTGATGCCAGAAGCAGACATTAGCATTCTAACAAGAGCAGCATAGTTACTACCCAACGTCCGTGTATCCTTCACAAACATAGACAAAGGAAATTTCCGGAAGTTTCCAGTACACATCAAAGGTGTATGTATCCCCACTATGGAACACTCGCCAGAAAAAGGATAAAAAAAACTAGAAAATGTCCAAAAAATACGCAAAAAGGTTTGTTCACGAGCTGAAAGGAATGAATTATTTGGAAAAGAAGATAACTGGAGAAAAGAGAAATACGATGGACATGATAACATATAAAATTCAAAGAGAAATAGACAAAAATAGACAGAGCAGCACTGTCCAAAGCCTGGAACAGCAGAACAACGGGTCACAGATTGAAACAAGAAAAACAAAATGAGCCACAGAAATGTCAGAAAGAACATTTTCAGAGTGACAGTACTGTCAATAACTGGAATATTTTAGAAGTTAAAGTCATTGACGCTAACTCTATTCAAAATTGTAAATGTAAATATAATTGAGAGCGTGAGAAATGAATCATTGCAGTCATCTGAGAACGTTGGGAAGATGGAGATAGGAGCCGAGCTCGACCCTGCAAGCACCTCTAGGTAAGAGCACACACACTACACACCAGACTGTACAAGTGAACCCCCATTCACAATTTTTGAAAAGTATATGTGAGAAAAACAGGTCGGGAGTCACTGTATAAGACGGAAGAACGGGTTCCTAGAGCTAAAGCTCGATACTGCAAGTACGAAGAGGTGAATACATATAGGTGATTACACACATAAAAGAACCCCAAATGCACAAGAAATATGCAAAACCAG